CAGAAACATCAGCTGTAGCTTTTGTTGCTCACGACTCTTGCTGGAAAACGCTGAATATCCTGAAATCCAACAGTCCACAGAAAAGCACTTTACTGTCATGTGACGAAAGTCCACCAAGTAATGTGTGTCAGGGCTGTTCAGTACACGCATTCAAAACTAATTAAGGCTTATTTATAAAAGACTGAAGGTAATTCAACGTTTTGACACAGTCATTGTTGATTTATTGAGGTCTTTAAAAGCTCTGATGGCAGACGTCCACTCCAAAGGTCAGACTTCCATCTTCCATCTTGGACATAAAAGTTGGATGTGGTTACCGTGACAGCAGCTTTTGGTCCCTGTGAAATCGAGGGAACTGAACACTCCTGCTTTTTAACTCTCATAAAAAAATGACATCATGCTGTGTCCATAAAGACCTAAACTGTCAGGTGAAATGATAAATTCATCATAAAGGTGATAACAAGTAGGATTTCATTTCCTCAGTTCTTTCAGACTTCAGGCTTCTGCTGCCCCCTGCTGGTCATTAGAGGGAACTGCTTCCACATTGGGTTCACTTTTCAGACTCAACTTCTGTATCCAGTCTTTATTTCTGCTGATTAGGCTCCACCTTCTCGTCTAAATATGGTCATCCTGGCACTGAACGCCAATGCTAACGATGGGATGTGAAACATGCTCGGCGACCACGGCAGCGCTCCTCTGCTTCACTGCGCTGGTCTCATTTTGTACATTTCCCTCTCCTCCATCACACCGAGACTCTGATTTGCACTGCTTTGTAAAGCGTATCTCTCCCTCTGTGAATGTTCCCCTGCAGCCAGCTGGTGGCGCTGTTTTATATTACTTTGTTCCTACAAGCCCAGTGAATGTGTCTGAGGTGACGTTGGACTTTGGCTTCATGTTTTCTTACTGACGAGTTTGTTTGAGTGATGACACACTGTGAGTTTAGTCTTGAAAGCACATTTTAACCCCAGTTTAACTTTAACCTTGAATCTGCTCAACAGCTTGCTTACTAGTGCAGAGAGTAATAACGTTTGTGTAAGTTTCACTTTGAATCATAGAGAGGTGAAGAAAACACGCCACCTGAAGCCGGATCTCCATCGACGCCCTCGGATTCAAACTGTGACCTGCTGGCGGACGGACGGACAGACTGAGTGTACATTTGTACAGATGTGAAGATGTTTGCTGGTTTCCTTCCTGTCCGATGTTCTCAGAGCTTTAGTGTGTTTGAGCGCCCCCTGCTGTAGACCTGGATGCTAACCTCTGTGTTGGGTTTGTTAACACTCATTGGACGTACAAATAAAAACAAGTTATCCATGACGGCCGCGCCTGAACGCTCATTTCACTTTATTTACACTTGATCGTTTATTTTATGGGTCCACGGTGGCGTGATATTAAGAATATTATATATTGTCAACACAAACAATGGCAGTAAGAAACACAGATTTAATTGGCTCTATAAGGCTTTATCACGTCAACCTGCAGATCATTCTAACATATCTAAATCTTTACGTGGTCCTTTCTATATGCTGCCAGTACACACCTCACTTGTAAGGCTCATAGTTTCTAAGTTACAAGGCTTTTTGTCAGTCTTTGACCGTGTCGACCTCATTGGATGGAAGCCAGATTTAATTGGATTGTCACAATGACATCACTCTATGCCTTTAAGAAGTTTAAATACGTTTTTTCACTGTGAATGATGCAGTTGTGATATTATTAGTGTGTAAGCCATTTTAACCATTAACTTTATTTGAAGGAATTTTATTAAAGTGAGAAAATGTATCAGTAAGTGTGCACGGGACGTTTTAATAAGAGAAAAATGCAGCATGTCAACAGATTTTCACATCATTTAAAGATTGAGAAGACGTCCTTGTATCTGCACCATTCTTAGAAATCACCAGAGCCAGTGTCATCTGACCTTCGATGATCCCGGTCACATGAACGTTTCTCAGAAACTCTGACACTGGTTCCTTCATCCCGCCTCTCTCTGAGCAGACTCTGACTGCATTTACCCAAGAAGACACTGACGTAGTCCACGGAGAGCGAGAAGACACAGATATAAACGATTAACCTGCTAACAAACAAACAAACCTTTTACATAATATTCTTTCTGTGGTTTTGTAGAGTCTCCGGCAGGCTGCTGCTGATGTTTGCTGATAGTGTTGAAGCATGACCTCATTACTTTCATTAACAGTGAGCCAGCGTTTTCTTGTTTTTATGTTTTCACACTTGTATCTTATTTGAAGTTCCTGAATTGAGTCAAGCAGCTACAACCATTTATTACAAAATGTCACTGCTATGTGTCAAGCGACAGAAATATCGGTTGTGTCACGTACGCCTCACAGTTACAGGAACACGGTCACGATCGATGCGTGAACACCAAACCTGAGGAAAACACTG